CTTTTATTGACACATAACAAAATTCAGCTACTATTCTGATGACTAAAATTCTATTCTGTATCCTTTCTCTGGCATACTTTTCCATTATTCCAGATGATTAGCTTAGTGTCTCATTTTAATCACTCTGAATTACCTCTTCCATAAAAGTTCTATCATGTGTATTTCAAGTTTGTTTTGGTTCTAATGATCCAATTAGGTAGATGTGACATTATGCTTTAACAAAAGTGTAATCAGTGATTTAATAAATGAATGAGAAGTTAGACGTGCTCCCATATCTCCAACACATTATTTCATAGTCCAACAATATTGAAGTCAATGTGGGAGGCACAAAGAACATAACAATACTGAGCACCTCTACTGCGTACCAGGCACTATGTTAAGCATTGGCAACGCAAGGCACAGCAAAAACAAGATTTTTGTCTCCACATTTCTGGAGTTCCCATCTGTGAAACAGGCAGCGCTTAAACAAGCAATTTCAGAAATAAATATAAAATAGCTACCGAGATAAGCGCTACAAAGGAACAATGCAGGTAAATACGAGAGTTCTAAGCAAGACATCTTAAATAGACTGCACGGGAAGTTTCTTGAGGAAGTAATGTTGGAGGTGAGCTCTGAGAAGGATTAGGAATAGAGTTGGGGAGTAAAGCAGCAGCCAGGGTGGCTGCTCTGCAGACAGCCAAGGAAGCCAAAGAGGTGTGCCTCACCACACAGGCCTCAGGCTGGAAGCCCCAGGCCCTGTGGACCTCACGGCTGAGGAATACAGATCACAATTCCCATGTAGCACACGTCAGGCTGTGAGCTAAGCACCTCGACTGAGACAAATGTTCCTGAAGACTAAGCGGTACCTTCCTGGGCAACTGGGTGTAATAAGGGAGAATGATAAAGAGCCAGTGATGATTTCATGGAACAAATGCATTTGTAGAAGTAGAGCAGGAAGGAAACCTGAACTGAGTGTGCTCTAGACGCCACCCCATCACCCTTTACATGGCAAAGGGCTAGACTTCGGTTTCCACTGCCCCATGGAAAGTGGGCCACAGTCAAAAGTATAACAAGAAACAAAGTAAGTTAATTGTTGACCTATGAGCTTCCAGATCCAGGCCCTGGTGAGTTAAGGCCTGTAAGAGAAATTATGGGTAATTTAGATTGGCTTAAAAGCTATAACATATCATTAGATAAGACTTCACATACCAATCCAGCCTACCAGGTCCTTTATATGTATATGTGTGTGTGTGTATATATGTGTGTGTGTGTGTGTGTGTGTGTGTGTGTGTGTGTGTGTGTGTGTGTGTGTGTACCTAGACTCATTTTTCCTTAAAACCTTTCGAAGAGTTTCTAGATAAG